CCATCCAAATCCTGTTACAGTCTCTATAGAGCTTAGCCCAATCCCCCCTTGTAGTCTAAACTTCTCTTCTCCCCTTAGACATTGTCGTAGCCTTTAACCTGCCACTTTCTTGATACATTAGCAATCACTTTTAAGTTTTAATTGTATATAGTTATCCAAGCAATCTGCACATTAATTCAAATATTACAGTAAACTTTTAAATATTGTAATAATGATTATGAGATAGGTGTGAATAGTGATATGATTAATGCCCTTCATGACAATTCCTTTAGCTCTTGTCTTTTTTGAGTATCTTTTTCAATACATTTTCTGTCCATTTATGTTTGCATTTTTGCTTATAGTTTTGTTTTTACATCAGTTTTACTATCCAGCATACACTGTTCTGTAATTTGCTTTTTTAAAAGAATGATTTAATTCCATTTATTATTGTTATTCAATTTGACCAGAAAGAGATAGAGAAAGAGTAAGAAAGCAAGCTTCTAGGTCCGGGACTGGAACCACAGACTGCCATGTGGGAGTCCAGCACCTTAACCACCATGCCATTGCTTTTTATCATTGATAGTATGTCTTGGTGACCTTTCTTTGTCTCAGTATATATAGATTTGCTTCATTCTTTTTAACGGCTGCCTAATATTCCAGAAGGTAGATGTTCCAGTGTTTAATCATTCTCTGTTGGTGCCTGTTGGGTTGTTTTCAATGTCAGAACCATCAAATTCTGCAGTGAACATCCCTGCATGTGCTGAGCATGCGTGAACTTGCTTTAGGATACACATTAGGAAGAGGAACGCTGGGTGCATATTATTAATCTAGTAGTGTCAAACCACCTTTCTGATTGGCTAGATCAATTCACACACCTGTTGGCAGAATATGCAAGTACCTGTTTTCCCACTAGCTTGCCAGCATCACTTTCCGCCTTGTTTTACGTGCACATGTATCTTGTCTGCTAGGCTTGGGGCCAAGCGCACGGAGAGTAGGGCCCATGACTTGGTTCTATTTGCATTTCCTCCCTCGCCCAGAGGTGTTCAAGGACCAGTGCATTTGTGCAGGAACTCCAACTGTGTGCTCTTTGCTCACCTCTGTGCAATAAGCACTCTACAGAAGCATTTACCAAGAATGCATTTAAACTTGGAGGTAATGTCTTAAGAATAAAAAGCATTCTTGAGAAAACTGGTTGCATTTTTGCACATCTCTCCCCTGGAAGAAGTTACAGATCTCTTTCATTTAAAGTTGCCTAAGAAAGGATTCCTCTCCTGCTTTGCTGGCAGGAGGCAGTGAAAACAGACGTGGTTGTCTCAGACAATAGCTAGCAGGGTGTCCCACCCACTGGGAAACTGCAGACCAAAGGCGCCTCAAAAACCCTGGGAACTAGACAGAAGGCGGAATGGGGAGGGAGAGCGGGTTGGAATCTTCGGGATATTCTGCATCCCAGGAGGTAAATTCTTTTATAGTTTTGAGGTAGAGGAAACCATTAATAAAGTGCACAGCCTGGTAATGAATGGATGCAGGTGAGGTGGAACTCTGTCAGGATAGGAACATCCAGGAGGGGAGAGCTGGGCATGTTTTAAAAAGAAATCTGGATACAGAAAAAGGGGTTTTTAAAGATATGAATTATGCAGTTCAAGATAAACTTTTCCATTGGGCAGTGCCTATATTTATTTATGATCATCCTGGGTTAAATAAAGCAATTCTAAAAATCACACACGCAGTTCCACATTTTGGAGTCTGAACACGAAGTTTGAAAATAAGTTTCCAAAGGGGTAAGAAATAACTTTCAGTTAAATATTATATAAAGAGATTGAGAATTACATGTAGCTTAGTTTGTGTTTACAAACCACATAAAGGAACCCACGGCCTCTCTCTTAATAACGTTTTCTTTTTCTCTCACCTATTGAACTGTTCCAGAAGCAACTGCAGCCCCCGTGGGGGTACAATTATATTTCAACACAAACACAAATGAGAAAAAGAGGAAATCATCTGATGTGGTGGACCGATCGCCCCTCGGGGCTCCTGAGGTCCGCTGGGCTTAGAACTGGACCCTCGGTTTTAATTCCCTAGAGCGAACGAGGCTGGACTGACACCTCATTTCTCCAGCGCTGTTAACCGGGGAACTCCTTGCTTCCCACTGCACTTCTCAAAAACACAGGGACCCGCGCTTGGGTTTTCAGCCCACTTCCTCTTGCCCCCTGCACCCCTTCACCCATCCCAAGGCCGCTGCCCAAACACTTCGGTAATGACGGTTTCACGCCAAGCAGAACCAGCTATGGAAAACTGGCTCCTTTGGCCTTGGGGGACTAATGCCTCTTTGGCCATTGTTGTAACAAAGCGGGCAGGAGCTGAGGGCTCCCCCACGAGGAAAGGCGGGAAAAGACACCCACGGGCGCGAATTTCGAGGCTGGGACTAAATCGAGCGCGCCTGGATGGCCAGCTGGGAGCCAGGGGGGCAGGGCAGGTTCCCCCCCGACACCGCTTCGGGTACCCAGAGCAGCCCTCTCCCGCGCCGCAACCACTTTACTTTTATTACCCCTTCTCTTATTATTATTGCCGTTATTATTATTATTATTATTTCCCGCGCAAAACGGGACGCCCAGACTCCGCGGGCTAGCCGCGGAGGGGCCGGCCTTTTCCAG